CCATTTTCCTGCATCTTTAAAACTAATAGAGTACTAGCAAGATGTGTGCAGGGTTTTTAGCAGATGGCATTCAGATAGTCTACTCTTCAAGCAAAATGAAAACACAGGCTTGTATATAATGACCAAATTCATTGTTGTCAGTGAATTCTTCATTGTATTGGCATTAAAGATTCTGGCTTTCGAACTGGATTTTGTGCTAATTTTTTCAAAGGCTTTCATTTTTAAAGAAGATATAAACATTGCCCTTAAAGTAAAGAAGAAAAGGTTATGTGCATTCCTCGTGGATTATTGTAGAACTGTTGCCACAGCAGATCCAGCTTTTCAGTGTAACATGTTATATGTGCAGGCTCTTAATTGGTTGCATTAAAATGTAGTCTAAGAAGAGTTTTGTTAAAGGCTTTTTATCTTGTTTTGAACTAAGCCCAGTTTATAGCTAGTGGTTCAGGGACCCCTTTCAGAACAAGAATTAACAGTCTCAAGAAGTCTGTGGATAAAATGCCCTGCTATTAATCTTAAGGGCCAAACTAGAAGTGGAGGATCTGAGATCACCACTCTACCACGCTGATTTCTGTCGTACTCATTTAGAGGCCATGCAGGGCTTTTATGGATGTTATTTCTGGTTCTGTGTCTGAGCAATATGGGGAAGTCATGTTCTGCGAGAGGATCTTTACTCGTTCCCTCTACTGGAAGCCTCTTTCACACAGGTATCTAGTGCAGCGCATGCAAAACAGAGTTAAAGTTCTACCCCTTTCCCTTCAGAGTAGCTCCATTGGGCTCCCAATGAGCAAAATAACCACTATGGAGATATCCTAATCAAGATCTCCTACTTCTCCAAATTTTATGTATAATTTTCAGGGGAGGCTGGTGACTCCTATGTCAGTGCAGCTCCTGTTCATTGCAGCTTTTGTTCAGCACTTTAGAAGAGTATCCATGGTATTGCATTGTGGTGAACCTATTTCTGTAGGAACTACAGAACCTCCTACAAAAGCTCTGAAGAAAAGCTGCAATGGCTGATGAACCCCACTGACCAGGAATCACCAGACTCCCCTGGGAAGTTGTTACTGCTCAGCTACTGCACTTAGGGTGCAACCCTATGGACGTCCAGACAGGGGGAAAAAAAAAAAAAAAGGTGCCATTCCTAGCATGCCCCAACCTGAGCTCACACTTAGTTGCAGTAGCCCCTTGACATCATGGCATCTTCAGAACAGAGGGCCTGGGGGAAGCTCTACTGGTTTGTGATAAATGGTTACCTCTGCTAAGTTAGAGGTTGTAATTCAGTGCCAGAGGACTTCTTTGGCCCATAAAGGGTTCCAGGTTTTGTTTGTGGCTTCTCCAAGTAGGACAGAAGAAATCTTGCCTGAAACCTTGGGGAGCTGCTTCTAGTCTGTGTTGACAATACCAAGCTTGGAGGACCTAGGGATTTATGGGGCATGAGACAGCTTCCTCTGTGCTTATTCACATTGGTTGGAACAGATAGGAATTAATATAAATTAATATGTATGCCAATAAGTAATTAAAAGAAAGTAATAACTAAATCTTGTACTTCACCAAGTCAGTAATTTCCCAGAAGCACCATGATGTTTTGTCTTTTGTCATACAGAAACGTTGACATGATTAGAAAACCTTAGAGATGGTGTGAAGTGACTGAAATGCTTGTCAAAGAGCAAATTGCTCCAAGGGGACCTTTCCACATGCTTGTCCCAGGTGAATAACAGCCATTAAAACAAGTTCAATATCAGTTTCACACCATAGAAAAGGCTATGCAAAGAAATGAGGGATCCAGAGGAAATTAACACCTTGATGAAAGTATTGTGCCTGGGATTTTTGGCAAACAGCAGAGTTAAAATACTGTTTGATACAATCCAAGACTTTTCCCCACCAGCTCAAGGTCAGTTCCACATGCCAACCTCCTTCCAGCAAAATGGCATAATTGGGCTGCTACTTCAGGAGGGCTATGATTGGTGGCACTGGTACCATGATGGCCAGTACCAGGGCACCTTGAGAATCACCCACCATTTTGATGTCCACAGTGCCTGAATATCACTCTGGGCATGGTGGGGACATCAAAACAACAGCTTCTTTATCTGCCCTTTCTTTGCTCTCCCCCTATCTGAATCAAGAAGGAGAACACAACTCAAGTGTTGCCAAGCTGTTCCATATTCCTTGTTCAAGTCTTTGGCAGCTGCCTAATCATACTATTGAGCAGTACTCAGATGTGCTAGGGATTGATCAGTGTATCTGTAATGGATGAAACGAAGCAAATAAATAAAATCTGTTCTTGAAAGGTAATAATATAATATGCATTTAAATAAAGTATCCAAATTCCAATGGTGTTCTTTACTCTTGTTCTGAGTTAGAGTGTCTACAGTGTTGGCATTTGATCAACATTTTGCAGTGACTGGTGAATTCATAAATCATCCACATGTTTGGACCAGTTAATCTGTGCATATTCTTTGAAAACTACTGAAGAATGAATCACATTGCAAAATGAATAGTTTTGTTTGTTTTTAGGCAACACTTCAGCAGCTATTATTTTTCTTTCATGTGTTTGCTTAATAAACGAAAGAGAACAGGAATATTTATTTGGATTCAACACGAAGACTGCTTAATTAAGTGATTAAAATGATAACTTTTTGCATACATGCAAGACATTTGTGACTTACCTAGCTCTTTTAAGCAGCCAACTCAGTGGAAATTTAAATAAGTTTTCCTCTCCCCTCTTGCATTCTTGAGAAAGATATAAGAAGGAAGAAAATTATGAATCTACAAATATATCAGTTTAGCAATCTTTGCACAGCTTCAGTCAGTTGTACAAACAGTAATGAGATGATCAAAATAGATGCTGTTGAATGTCTGGTTTCTTCTGCACCATTTCCAAATGGTGGTTTTCCTTAGGGAAAACTAAGTGAAAATACTCTCTTCAGTTATCATTTGCCTCATTTCCCATTTTCTTCTGCACTGCATTTGTCTTCCATTGTTTTTGTGTCACTAAGGACATTTGCATGACAATGGGATCTTTCTTGCTTAAGAGTTCATCTGTTGCTGCAGCTAATTCCCCACCTGTATTCTTCAGTTAGTAACAGCTTAATTCTCTCTCTAGCAATTAATGGTAACATCACAGAGAGGAGATTTTAATTTCAGGTTGTAAATAAAAAACCTGAGACCAAACTGGCCATATGTCACCTCCATCCTGCACCCCCATCATCAAGATGCATAGCCAAGATCCAGTCAATCAGGGTTTTTTTTGGGGGGGGGGGGGTTGCACCTCAGACAAAATAGAAGCACCTTTCCTTTCCTAGTTGTGCAAATACCCTAAAATATTGAATCAATAATGATTTGCTAAGTTTGGTGACACAACTAAATTAGTTGCCTCACTTTGCTACCTTGAGGTTCACAAAGCTGAGAAATTTTTAAGGAGTGGGTGGCCATGTGTCCTGCTTCACAGAGCACAGTCCTCTGTTTCAAGAGCTGTCCAGTCCAGCTCTGACTTGAAGATAAAGAGCCACCAAAAACTGAGGGAGAAGAAGCCTTGAAATTGGCCATCAACAGCAAGTAACTGAATGGGTAGAGACACACACCTTGTCTCAGTCCAATCTTTGATAGATATATTGTGCTTCTATTTAAGTTTCTAAAAGTGCAATCCTATGTATGTTTATCGAAAAAAGACCTATTACTCTCAGCATGGTATGTTTTTTCCTAAATGTGCATTGGATTGCACCCTAAATGTACATTCTAAATACTTTCCATATGTGCTCATGCTTCTAAATGTTCTAAGACTGTACCTATCAATTAGTATATGCAAATTTTAGCAAAATGATTCCCCTATCTTCCCTCTATTTAGAGATGTATAGGTGGCTACCCTATTTCAGAAACAGAAAGATAATGCTTATGCTATAAAACTGAGCATGGACAGAAATAACATCTCTGAATTCTATAAAATGGAACAGTTCAGAAAGGAATTGAAGGAATAATGAATTTTTTTACTCTGATTGCCTCTTAGACTATCATAAAGGTTTCAGGCACTGAGTCCCAGGGGTCAACAGTGCCTGATAAAGAAACCCATCTACAGCCTGGCTTCCATTTACCTCTCATTCCCTGACTTCCTCAGGTCAACAGCCAGTACAGCAGCTGGAACCAGGATCATATCCATTGTGTGATGGGGTTTCGACCTACAGGAGAATAGTAGTCTTAACACAAAAAAGTCAATATGCATGCAAATAATGGTTTCTTTTGAATTTGTAGGTGTCTCCCAACATCTCATGTTTTGGACAGTTTTCAGGCAACTGTATTTGCTTTCATATTATTTTCACTTTTGATATCAGGAAATCCTACTCCTTGGGGCCAAACTAGATTGATTAGCAACTATAGAACTAACTGTGGTAAGAAGGTACTATCAAAAAATCTGTGGATCATATGTTTGTGCAGACTGGTCTGCATGTTGCAAAAAGTTTTTTCTATTTTATAGGAATTTGTATTTGCTGAGCCAAAGGATGCCATTGATGAAAGCCTTTTGCCATGCAGAACCCTGTAGCTCTGTGTGATTGTTCTGGGTCAAAAAGCCTGGAGCTGCCTTGGGCCATTTGAAGAGGTTCCTAAACCCCATTTCTTTGTGCAGAAACAAACAGTCCACATATGTTGCAGTTTGCTCCAGGGTAGACCACTAGTCTTGCTCGTGCTGCCAGCTCCACCTGAGATGGCTCAATGTCATCCTTTCCTTGCACATGGATGATGTACATGTGCATGGCTCCACCAAGAGGTTCTACTTCCTTTTATGTCTAATCCGGACATGTGCAATCCATCTATGTACCCGTGTTCCACTTTATCCGTAGTCATCAGGGTTGCTGAGTGTCAGGCCTGCTTTTGCAGCCAGGGTTTATCTCTAGAACATCTGGACAAAGTTCCTGGTGCTCAAGCAAGTGGCAATCCTGTTTTCTAATCAAATTGCAGTATGGTTTAAATAAAAATCCTTGTCATCACCATGTTTCTATTTCTTTCCAAAGGCAAAGGCAGTTTTGGCAAAAGTGGGTTACCCTGAATTCATAATGAATGATACATATATTAATGAAGGCATAAAAACAGTAAGTCTTTTTTTTTCTTATCATTGCTTGTTATTTGTTATGGTAATTGCAATATATGAAGCACAAGCATAACATGCAAAATAATTAAAGGTGCAATCTTATGTATTTTTAGACAGAAAAAGGTAGTACAACTCCCAGCATTGCTTGCTTGGCTGTGGTATGATAGCAGTATTAGGATGTTTTCTGTCCGCTTCTACCTAAACATGTACGGGACTGCAATTAAAATGTCCATGTTCTATAGAAGCACACAATATAGGTTATTTAAGAGGTCATCTAGAAAAGGAAGAAGAATGGAAGGAAAATGCATTTTTCAGAATCTCAGTACCAGTATTCCACTTGCAACGGAAGTTTTACAACAATGCTTTTCAACTAGAGCTTGGGATGGTAAATCTCCCTTTACACACATGCCCACAGACATATACATAGACTCTTTGTATGACATGACAGCCCACCATGGTTTATTTAACCAAAAATGAAGTGGTGGTCTGTGTATGGTGTGTGCTCATCATTTTGAATATGTAACCCCACCTGTGAGAATCCAGCAAACATGGGTTGTGTGGAGGTTAAACGGCCCTCACACAACTCATTGTCTCTTTTAGGATTAAGTGAAGGTTGCTTAACCTTTGCATAACCCATACTTGCCAGGTTTGCATGACACAACCTCCAACTAGATTGCACATGCAGCTTGGTGCCTGTAGCCCACAGTGAACCATGACATGTCATCTGAACCTAGCTGATCAGATGTTCAGCTCTCACGAAACGCCCTCTACTACATGCTGCCAGTCTTGCCTGCTTTTCTTTCTTGCCTCTATCCTGCTTCACGCTTCAGCAGTGAGCCTTTTTACTGCAGTAGAATGAGAGCCCAGGTGTCCCCCATGAGGTGCATGGCTCATCTTCTTCACCTCACATCTCAAAGACTGTGTGAAATGAACAGGCCACAATAACATCCAAACAATGTGCAATATCTTGTTCACTTGATCCCAAAAGTGGATCCCATCTGCTGGATTTCTTCACAGACTAGCATCAAGAAATAAACCTCAGTTTACAGATTTGTGGAGAGGAAGATGGAGGCATCTGTCTCCATTGCCATCATATGATCCAGGGTTTGCTGTCCCACAAACCACTTCTCTCTTTGTCTGTTCTCTGAATTTCTATCTCTTCACCATCCTTCTGAAGCATATTTTCTTCCTGACTCCTCGCTGTGCCTCATATGCATGTGGAGTTTCTAGCAAGGCTTCACTACTAGAAGCTATGACACAGGAGCATACACACACTCTGCTTAGGCAAGTGCAGTGTAGCTACTAGAAACACAGAAACATCGAAACAGAGCAAGTCAGAAGGGGCCTCCCAGGCAATCTAGTCTGATCCCTGGCTCCAGCTGGCTCTGTTCATGACATGCCTATCATGTGCATGACTAGCCTGTCGTTGAACACTCTCACCAATGGGGTTTCAAACACCTCCCATGGAAGCCCATTCCATACCCTAGTGGTCTTAACTGTCAGGAAATATTTCCTGGCATCCAAACACACTAGGAGTATATTTGTTCCTAAATCTACATATTGAGGACCTCAGCATAAAAGTAACTTTTAACTAGTCCTGACATAAAGGGTACAGCAAGGTGTTTGGGCAAGGCTGCCTAAATCTGAGTGGATGGGGGAGGGTGCTGAACATTTTTTCATCAGCTGAGCTTTACTTCACATGGATCATTCTCCCTCTTTGTAGCCTCCAAAACCAGCATTAATTATGTACAATGCATTAAAATATGCAAACTTCTGAATCTGTGCATAATCTCACACATTAATTCCATCCATTTGTGAGACGTTGTTTTGTTTTGATGGTGACTATTTATGTGTACCCACACAGGGTATAGATATCCTTGATAACTGGTTGACATTATCATTCTAGGTAGCCTGGGAAACTAGCCAAATTGTTAAAATAACTGTGTTAATGCAGTAGCAACAACCCCACCAACAACACATAAAGCTTCAATGATATTTGATTGGGATCTGATTCAAAAATGAAATTTTGTTTTGAAAGGATATATTGTTCAAGATGTAAATAGCTTACACACTGGAAGTAAAGGGATATTAACTTTCTAAGTGCTTCATTTCTGCTCTAAAAATGTATGCCTTTAGCTATAACAGTTTCCCTTGCTCTGCACATTTCTTGAGTTCTGTTTAATCTCCCACATTATTTACATGAGTCTCTTGTTAAGCATCGTATCTCTGGAGAATAAAGCTTTTTTAATTGAAATGGAGGACGATGAGTAAGTATCCCAAGCTTTATTTAAACCATAACAGGAAAAACTTAACCATGTCTGTGGTTATGTTTATTTTGCAGTATGTGTATTATCTATCTTAAGCACAAAACAGTGTTTGCCATCAGCTGTGTCACTGGACAAAATTAATGGTAGTGCCAATCCATGTTCTGACTCATAATCTTGCCACTAAAATGCCAAATATTTCAGTAAGATAAAATAAAAAATGTAGCTCCCAATACACTACATAATATCTTCACTGTGGCCCTAGTTCTGTCTGTGCTAGTTAGGATTTGGAAACAATAATAAGTCATTCCTTTTATTGGACTATATTCACATACTATCAAATCATTGCAGTGCGAAACTTCACAGTTACAGATATTTAAAGCCAGGCAAGACAGCAGCTGCAACAAATCTTCTATAAGAAATACAGTTGTAGTTGGGATGATACAAGTAGGTGACTAAAGAGTTCTGGTTTACTTCCAGGGCAGTAGTCACCTGTTTTGCTGTGTTAAATGACATTGCCCTAGCAATGGATTCACTTCCAAGCTATGCAGAAGATAATTCAACTAAAACCATGTTTGTACAGGTGCAGTTGTGCAAGCAGTCCTCTATTACGTTTGTGAAACCTCTTGTTCAGAACTTGTACAACCTATTGCACTTTCATTTGTGCCTGCTCAGTCTATTTCACAAGTGTAATGGCAGCACTTTGTGTGACGGGAAGCTTCAGTGCAGCTCGGCTAGCGCTCTTTGAGTGAATAAGAACGTTGGGGGCTGCTCCAGCTTATTGAAGCAACCAGAAATCAGGCCATTTTAGAATACATTTTGTAAAAAAGCAGTTAACCAATTTATGTATTAAATGAATAGATTAATAGCACTTCTCTTGCTCAAATGATCTCTGATGTGTGATAGAGTGTGGGAACAATAACTGGGGTATGGTAGGGCAGGTTGTTAGCGCCTATGAGCATGGTTGCCATGGGGCTCTACTACATTTACGAGGACAAAGGCCACTCCTCAGTGGCAGAGCATATGCTTAGCAAGTGAGAGAGCCCAGGTTCAGTCTCTGGCTGGATAAGTCTCTTAGCTGAAGCCCTGGAAAGCAGCTGCTCAAGGCTGGAGCAGGGCAGGTGAACCCCTTTCATCTGGGGAGACTGCATTCCAGTGGCATCCAAGTCACAGACAAAAGGAGGACAGGGCTGCAAAATGTAGCCCCCCTTCCCTTTCCAGTGTTAGTCATTTATAAAGGGTGTAAATGGCCCAGAAATAAGCATGGCCACCATGTCTACTGTCAAATAAACAGACAGGCCTCTGCATGTTCATTCAGAAGGAAGCAGGACGGAATCGTGCAGTCCCACACGCATCGAGCCTGCGCATTTGTACTTGGTATTATACATGAGCATCATATCTACTCAAACGTAGGCAAGACAGGCTTCAGGAGGAAGCAGAATGGAATCACTCAGAAGCTGTTTCTTCTGTTCTGAAAGGAAAAGCTGATTGGACATAAGTACTTTCACTACTAAGCTCTGAAAAAGGGAATCCCTTATCTCTGGTCAGATGCTGATAGGAGCTTTTCTGTCCATGACAAAGGGAGCAGAGCCAGGGAAGAAGCTGCCAGGACACATGGTCCACGTTAGGTCCCCCCTCCCTGCTGTAGACAGTATTGAGCTGAGTGGTCTGACTTGCTATGAGTCAGCTTCCTAAGCCCCAGTCAGGTGACTCTTTACAAAGCTTGCATTTAGCGATTAGGACACAGGCTATTGGCACAGATTAGGCAAGAATTTAATCTACACTTCTGATTTATTTGTATCTTGTAAACTGTCCAGGGAGCTGTTAAACTAATAGGAACAGTATAGAAATGTTTAAAATAAAATTTTATGTTACCTTCAGTTATCTGAGGCATTAGCATTTTGTAATTGATGTTTCTTTTCAAACAAGCCCCTAACAGTAATGAGATGCAAGCAATTTTTTATCCTTACCTTAACCCTTCCCAGTATGGACTGAGTTCAAAACAGGGACCTAGCATTATATTCAGTTGGTAGTTTCCTTAAAGCACAGTCCTTAGGGAGACAGTTAACTGAGCAATGCTGAGAGCTGTGGGGCCCTCTTCTGTTTAAACACCCTTAGTATCGCACGCTTACTACCAACACTACCATACACTATATTTTTCAATGTAATAAGCTATTATTAGCCTTTGAAGGGCATAATTTGTAAGTAAATAAATAAATATCTAGCTGCTCTCGGCCTTAAAACTCCAGGGGAATATCCATTTTATGTTTTCTGGACTATATTGCTTTGTAAATCTCTCACGTTGAAATGCATGCATTGGCTTAGTTTAAACTTGTCATGCATGTCCCTAGGCTGATATTTTAAGTTTGCCCACATAAACTTTATTTTTATATTACTCAGCATCAAAATGTAAATTATGAGAAATAGCTAAAATGGAAGTATTATTTTAGAACCCTAGATATTAGAGGCATCTGGAGAACAACTGTTTTGAAAATCTTCCAGCTTGCCAGATGTTAGCCAAAAAACACTTGGTTGACTATGAGATTTCCTAGTTAAATGCCTGAATTGTTACATTTCCCAATGGTATTATAGAATGTCAACATTCATCCATGTTTTGACATTTACTGTTGTTTCATAGAAATGGTATAGCACTGGAAGTACATGTTGGGGTGTTTAAAATAAAAACTGCATTGTTTTCAAATATTTGCAAATCAAAATAAAATATCCAGATCAGTAAAAATATATGTTGGGGGAAAGTCTGTCTTGAATAGCTGCATTGTACAGATGCTCAAAATAAGAACATTTGATTCAGGATCTTTTGGTTTGTAAACATTACAGTCATTCTTCTTTGACCTTTCCCCTTGAATCTGTTGGTTATACTTGCATAATCCTTACATTGCATAAACCACCTAGAGAACTTCACTTATAGAAATGTGATGAATAACTAACTAACTTCTATTCCAATCCCAGATGAAGTTTTCAGAAACGGACTATTTTGGCAACGTACTTCAAACCCGCAAACAGGCAGCGCAGTCTGATTTCTACTGGCTGAGAAGAGAAGTTCCAAAAACAGAGTAAGTAGCCAGGAAGACTTGACGGAATACTTTACTAAACAGTTAGCATGTGCATAGCATAAACACTTAGGGCACCATCCACCCAGCATTATAAGCCCCATTGACTGCAATGGAAGAACAATGCATGTGTGTCAGTATATTGCATTGAAATCAGTGAGACTTAAACTGTTTAGCATTGGTTGGTTTAGGGCTTAATGTGTGTAGTGTGCGTGCATGTGAGCTTTAAAGAAACTATAATTAAATAGTAATTGGATTGGATTTTTGCTGGCAACTGTGGTAATTCCAAATGGTGCAACTGGCATTTCCATGTATTAGATTTTTCATAAAAAGAAGCATAGCCATGAAGAGGTAAGGCTACTATCGCTAATTTAATTACATGCTGCCCTTAGTAGTCTTGTATGGTCTTAAAGATAACGGATTTTGTGTAAATGTATTTTAAAAAAATATATAGTATTTCATCAGAATCGGATCCTGTTTGATCCAAAAACTTGAGATGGTAGCAGACTGGATTGTTTCCAGCAGTGTCATTCCACTATTACAAAGCTGCTAATGCTTGTGGAAAACCGTTTTTCATCATTGCACAGGGTTCAGTCTAATACTGTGATTCTGCTTGTGTGATCCCTTTTGAAACTCTTACACAAGTTATTCCACAAATTGTTTCACAGCCTATTGCACGAGCCATTGTATAGCCATTCCACAAGCTATTACATAACTCATTGGAACCTGATTAGGTCATGGTGTTTCTTGTGTTAGTTGCACTAGCTGTCCTACCTGTTTGTGCAACTGCTAGTGGAAAAATGACATCATTTGCACTTCTTTCTTAACATAATGTTGGTTATAATCTAAGATTTAGTTTAGAGTCAATGAAGGAAACCTCTCCTAAAATATGAGGCTTTTGGATGGTCATCAGTATCAGGTTTTTGATCAGTCTCTATACACACTCACCCCCCCTCAAAAAAAAAAAAAAAAGATGTGATTAGTCAAGCAACAGAGGGAACAAATGTGACCTGCAATAAAATGTTGCAATGTGGCATGCTCAGGAGCAAAGCTAGCCAACCAATCATGCATTCTTCCAGGATGTTCCATTGTACTCATGCTCCCCCTTGGTTCCATCCAAGAATCTTCAGTGAGCAATCCATGCCCACAAGCTTCGTCATGGATGGTACCATTTTAGTTACATAAAGGGCCTTCACTCAGAGGTCTTACTTCCAATCCAGTGAGAATGATCTCCCATCAGTAGGAGCAAAATGCTTGATGCTTGTGAACATTTCATTCTGAGTGCTGATGCTGACATATTCAACAGTGCTGATCATCTCTCGGTGGTGGGAAGGCGGTGGCGGTGGCAGCTCCTCCTCCTCCCCACTGCAGATAATTAACAAGGAAAACACTGGTGGAGAAAATGGGATGGTGTCCAATAGCAAGTATGAGAAACATCTGTAGAGTCCTTGCTTCTTTGGTTTGTGACCCAATACAATTGTGTTAGCAATGGCTGCAAAGCTAGTGAAGACATTTTACATAGGCATACATTTAAACTGAAAGGTGGCGAAGAAATGTTTAAAATGACAATACAACAACAACGCTGTGAGGAAAAACCCTGAAGGGAACATTGCGAGATTCTTCTGTGCCAGAGTTCAGCAAAACACAGTATATTTAGCTCAACAAGAATTTCCATGAACGGGAAGATAAACACCCTTGATGCTACATTCTTCTGGAAGTGGCTATTAGCTGCACTAATATATCGTGAAAAGATTCTTCATATGATGAGGAATGTCAGTGGAGGTGAAATTAAATGGCAGATAATCCCTGAAATACACAGCTTTAGGGCTGTCCCCTGCGAATCATCCCTCCATCACTGCTATAATTTGAAATGAAGAGAATTATTCCCTAACTCCACATGTGGTAGAATGCAGTTGAGCTTATCTCAATTCATTTTCCTTCTTCAAGGGCTTCTTAGTGTCATCCCTTTCCCACTAGATTTTCATACATATGTGGCTTAACGCTTTCTCTCTCTCTCTCTCTCTCTCTCTCTCTCTCTCTCTCTCTCTC